TAGTGTTAGGTTTAGCGTTAGGTTAAGGGTTAGGCTTAGGGTTAGGTTTAGGGTTAGGTTTAGGGTTAGGTTTAGGGGGGTTAGGTTTAGATTTACGCGTTAATTTTAACTTTACCGCTCACAGCGTGCTGTTTTCGTTGCGCTGTGATGACGTCACGTACGCGCTTTCATCGAGCGCGCTTTAGTCTACCGCGGTTTTGTGGTGGAACCAAAGTTTCACCTACTTTAGAGTAAACCAGCCAAAATGTAGCACAATTTCCACAATGATTGATGTTGATAACAATAGTTAAATTCAATTTGGCAGTGTGAACAACTAAAAAAGAAGATTGGAAGGAAAAGTTCACATAACACTAAGAAAGACTGACTGGCAACTTTCAAATATTTCAAATATGCATAATATTCTGCAGTTTACAGAATAATAATTATAATTAGGTCAGGAATAAAAAAAAATCTGTAAACCTTCAAGAATTATTGACTTACAACTCCTCACTGTCTAAGCTGCCTAAGATAGCTGGATATTGTAGCTAAGCAATACCTGGAGGGTCAGAGTTACTCTATCCTTGATTTCACTTACAATAACCTATAACAGCTGAACTCAAAATCTTCAGCTCTAGGGATGACTAATTGGGAATGGAATGTATAATGGTTCTGTTTCCACTGGACTGTCAAACTTTATTGTAAACTATGTCATTCTAGAAGTGGTTCAGTGGATCCCAAAGTGGTTCAGAATCAGACTATAGTGCTTCAGACTTTGTGCTCTAGAAAATACTTTATCTGCTTTCAAAATACGGGAAGAGGTTTGGAATGCTCCCAAGGGAAGGAGAACTTAGCTATTCTGCTCATAGTTAACCTATCTAGCATCCACTCTATAACAAAATGAATTTCTATAAGTGATCAACTTTAGCTCATTCTGAATTTCCTCATGGGAATTACAGTACTGTAGGTTTCTTCTAATAGTCTGAGTAGTCTCTCAAAGAAGTAATACCTGAACATGTTCAGAGATTCTAACACATACAAAAACCCCATTCCCTTTGGACAGTTGCATGAAGATTTCAAAGTCTACCTAACATACAAAAAAAGCTTAGGACTTTTCAAAAGTCATCCATCTTATCTGCAATCTGGACTCCACAAATTATCTTAGCACAGGCATGCTTATTCCAACTACAAGGATCTACTTTACATGCTAGTTTAGTAATTTCATACTTTATCCCTTGTAAAATTGCCACTTACTTTATGACTTCAATTGTTTTCTCATTTGCTCCAAAAGCTGAAGGCAGTTAGTGAATAGACAATGCTGCTGTCTCACAACAGCACTGAATAACCAATATGTAGGTTAATGTTTCCCCATCATATCCTCATAGCCATCATATTCCCAAGTCACCCAGATTGAAAAAGTGGCCTCCTTACTATCTCAGACCTATAAATTAGATATACTTTCTGCATTCATGTGAAGAAGTCCAAAAAAATTGCTTGCATACAAAGAGATTTCAACTGAATTACTGTACAACGTAAAAAGGTTGAATTTCTCTCATTCTAATACTCATGGTATTAGAAATCTCCACCTCTCATGGTATAATATCAAAAGATGTCAAACAATACAGAAATCAGTATACAAAGTAATTTGAACCCACCCAACATGTTCAAGTTATTGTATCATTTTGACCGAATTACAGTAATTGAGTCACAGTGCAGAAGACCATAAACACTGTGGTATTCACATTTACATCCAGTATAGCCAATTTAACACTATGAACTGTCTAAACCATGGGTCACCAACCTTTTGGACCTCAGGGACCACTAAATTCATAATTTGAAATCCGGCGGACCACTAATACGATTTTTTAAAAAAAGATAAATATTATTTAGTGCAATATAAAAAATGCAAATAATTTTTCTGAGGATCACCAAAATTTTATTGCGGACCACCAGTGGTCCATGAACCACCAGTTGGTGACCGCTGGTCTAAACAACTATCTTCACATTATCAAGCAAAACCCACAAATGTAAGTATACACATTAGTCTCTGTGAAACGAGTTGTTGATTCATCATACTGAACAGCAATTATTCATTCATTGCAAAATACCTGTTTGTAAAAGATACCAATGTTGAACTATAGGATGCACACTCAATGTAGCCATTTGATGCTCAATTATGTCAACATACAGATCCAAATCAGATCCCATTGAAAGGATAAAACTGTGATAATAATTATTACAAAAAGTGTAATACTTGACAAATGGTCTCAAGGATTAGAGGGAAAATACTAAAAAGTAGTTTATAATGAATGAGGACAAATATAATAATTCAAAATTGTTATTATGGAATTTATGAAAGTTTCAGGAGTTATTAAGGCTGTGTTCTTAAAAAGTTGTTTTATGCTCAGAACAAATAATTTAAGTCTTTTTACATGTATTTCTCCTGTACCTATAAATATGTTGTTCAAAAAAGAGCATTCAGAAAAACCCAACTGTTCAACGTACAAATTTGTAAGATTTTACTCTCAATTTGCCAACATAAACAGTTCTAAAATGCACAATCCCAATCCCATTTAAAGCCTAATCTATTTTTTTTAATTACCCACAAACCTACTTTTCTTTAATTTACTTTTCCCTGTTGTGGTATCAATACCACAAGTGTAGGGCTTAGTAGTCTTTAATTATTAACGGGACTTTTGGGAATACATGGGATGGCGATTAACTTTTGACAGGTTAGTTTAAAATACTTCAGATTAATCCTGGCATTATATTATTGACAGTGTTTTAAATCCTGGAATTTTTCAGACCGGTGCAAAATTATTAGAAGTTTGGGGCAACAGTCACAGAGCATTTACTTGGCTGAAACATAAAAAGCCATGAGGTATTATCTTTTATTTGCCTGCAAACGAAAATAAACGGACTGTTCTCCAAGAGAAGCTATGGCCTGTTCCAAGGAGCTACAATGAAGTCTTCCAAGGAGCTACAATGAAGTAGTATAGATATGAATTACTCCTCGCACATGTTCAGAAACCTTTGGCCTTCAAACACAGGGGAGACAGACCGCTCTCCCTCGCAATCTCAAGCAGGAGGATGGCGAGAAAGCCGCTCCTAGAAGTAGTTAGCAGCCCGTCCGCATCCCCTCAACTGCTGTCCGTCCTACAACTCATTCATTCATTCTTTTCATTCATTCATTCATCCGACCCTCCTCCCTTTTCACGCGACTAGGCCCCCACCGGCCCGCTTGTCAGCGAACATGCACGCCAGCTCAGCCCCATTTCGCCACTCACGGCTATACAAAGCGAGGCAAGCGGCGTCAGGCCCGGTGCGAGCCTCGAGACGCAGCGCTTGCTGCTCTTGGTGCCTCTGGATTTCCCCGTTGGCATCGCCGATAGTGAGGAGCCGCACACCCGGAAAGACCGATACCACCGCCGCCGCCATCTTGGCATCCCAGGCCCGCTCCGCGGCGGCGGCGGCGGCTGTAGGTAAAACCCAAAGGCGACTGAGGAAGGCGTCAGAGAAGGAGCGGCCGGAAGCCGTGCCTTTTGAGCACCGCTAGACTGGACAAGGCAGAGAGCGGACGCTCCCTCTACTGGCCGGCGGGGATAAGGAAGGGTATGCGCTTCGGGCCAATCGGCGTGGGAAGGTCGGGCGCTGCCGGTCGAAAGGATGGCAAGCTAAGGAATTCAGATGATGGGACTAAGAAGGAAGACTAGTATTCAGTGCCGTTGAGAGAAAGGACAGAGTCCAGTTAAACTGGCATAAGAAACTGGGCTGCAAATTCCCAGTTACAGATATTTCCTTGCAGAGTGGATAAAAATCGATGATTTTTTTAAAAAAAATTTAAAAAACTGATTTTTTAAAATTTAAATCGGATTTTTTTTATTTAAACTGGGTTTTTTATTTTTATCAAATTGATTTTAATAAAATGCTTTTAGAGTAAAAATCTTTTAGATGTGGTAATGGATAGGCACATACAGACTTAACGGTAACAACAGCTCTTTATTAAGTACAAGTGAGAACAACCCAGCTAAGGTTGAGTCTGACAGCAGCCCTTTTATAGGGAGCTGTCAGACCCTTCGACCAATAGGATTAAACCTCTGTTCCCGCCTGAACAGAGGACCTTGGTGGAAACCACTGTAGTTAGAACTAATATCTAACAAAATCCATCTAAAGATGGTTTTCTATTTAAGATACATTAATAATTTAGTTTATTCAGCATGAAATGGAGTTTTGTTATGTAGCATGAGGTTGTATATTATGCAATCTTGGGACTGTCAGTGAGTCAACAGGTCAGAGGAGAAACTGCTGCGGCACAGAAATGACAGTTGCTCTTTAAAAATTATGATTTAAATGAAGCCATTTTACTAGTGATTTAAATATTGATTTAAATCAA